AATATTGATTGATATGTTAAAAACCAATTTTTAAATGAAAAGTTTGATTAAATAAATTATATTTTAATATTATATAAAATTGAATTTTTAATTTCTTATACTTTGATGAAAGTTTTATTATGTCACTTGAAGAAAAATGAAACAATGGTAATTGCAAAAAAAAAAAGAAAATTTATTGCTATAAAGATATTAATTTCTTTTTGTTTTTAATCATATATGATAAATTTTGATTTTTTATTTATTTTAGATCTAATATTTAACTTATATAAAAAATTGACACTTGAATTGGTATATTAAGAATATGGACAAATGACATAGTAAATAATGTATATTTTTAATTTTCATATATATACTCATATTCAATAGTTAAATAATACTATGCATTAAAAATGATATTCAAACTAATGGAGAATATAGTTTTCATAAAAATTATAATTACTATCATTCACAAAAATATGGAAAGTTATTAGTTACCATAAATATAAGGAATAATCAGTTGTTTAATTTAAATTAATTAATAATATTAATTGCAAACTTAAATATAATGACATCTATACTATTATTTGCGAAGTGGTTTTTCGCAACGGAGCTCTCACGTTAAAAGTTTAAGTGGTTAATATCGTTTATACCCCTAATGAATAAATATATAAATCAGCCAAAAATAAAAACGAATTTGATATTTATTTGATTAGATAAATGATTTAAATTAATAATAATGATAAGAATTATCTATATTCTAAATATATATTTAAAAATATAAAAAATATAATTTCTATATATATTGTGTTGTTATCCGAAAAATATATTTTAATAAAAAATTCGAAAAATCATATTAAAATAAAAGATCCTTCAAAAAGATAATTCCTCTGAACTCACACGTTAAATTAAATTTATTTTTATATTTTATAGTTAAAACTTTAAACATGAATTAATCATAATAAAATAAAAGATCATTCAAAAAGAAAAACAATACGTGTTTGAAAAAATAAATTCAAATATATTGTATTATTATCTAAACTAATATTATTATTTCTGTAAGATCAATTTTTGAATGTATATTTATCAATGAACTTTTCAAATTGAAAAATAGATTTCTATATTTTTTATCAATTAAAAAGAAATGAAATATACTTTATATTTTTTAAAGTTCTAAAGGAAAAAAATAGCTTTTTTTATTTGTGAATAACTTTATCATGTAAAACAATTTAATGTTTTATGAAAAAAAATTTTGATACAGATAATCATTTATTTTGATAATTATTTAAATTAACTTAGCATAAATAGGCAAAACACCTACATGTAATTCTATTATAATTAACTTAAAAATTAATGGCAGAATACTAATAGGGATTCTCCGTATATATTAACACGCGTTTCTTAACGGTTATATTTGAATCTTGAGTTGGTTTCGATAGCGTCATGAAAACACGCGTTTCCTAACGGTTAGTAAAAGTTATTCTGAAATCAAATCGGTCCTGCATTCTCAGATAACCACCTAAACCGAACCGTATCGGTCTAAAATTACATGCCGTCGTCTTTAATGTCTCTGTAAATTGGAAATTTCCATTTTTCTTTTTCTTTTGTAATCAATCAAAGATCGAGACTTTTTCTTTTTAGTTTAGACTCTCTCTCTCTCTCTCTTTCTCTGTGGAATAAGAAAGAAGAAGGAGGTGAGAATGGCGTATGTTAGTATGGGTGAAGCCCACCGGCGAATCACAGAGTACCTAAACCGCTTCTGCGACGCCGTTTCGGATCAAGACTCTTTGACACTCTGTCGTCTCCTCTCTTTCTCTTCCAATTCCCCACCTCTTCTCTCACTCGCGGACGCACTCAACGTCTTCCAGGTCCATAAAATTTCTCGGATTTGGTTTAAGATTCCTATTTGATCGAGACCCATGTTGTAAAACTAGCTGTTTTGAAACATTAGGAGTATGATTTGTAATAAGAGGCAAGTTAAGTGGGTAAAGTTTGTAGCTTTTAGGTTCAGTTTCAATCTAGGATGACCTAGATGAGGTCCTACTTCAAGTATGAATCTTGAATTTTAGGGTTCCTGTGATAGAACATAGAAGCATGATCTTTCTGTTGGTAAAGTTAGTGTCTTTTTTTTTGGTTCAGTTTCAGTGTTATCCTCCTCCAATTGGGTCCTCCTGTTTATTACCAATGAGTGTATCTTTATTGCAGGACTTGAAACTGTCTTTGGTAAAGTTTTTTGTATGAAATATATGTTTGAGTTTAATGAGTATATTGTTTTAGATTAGGATTTGAAACCGTCTGATAAAAATTGAGTTCATGTGTCTACTGAATAGGATTTTGAATAGTTGGGCTGAGTCTTCAGGATTTCAGAGAATGTAATTTACAAGTTAGCTAGTTTTTTTTATATGGAGAACTTGGAAAGACTTAATTCAGTGAGTTTTATTATATGATGCAGGATGCTAGCAGTTTGATAGGAAAATCTGATAAATTCTCTGAATACGGAGAGATTCTAGCTCATTTGTTTCGTTCTCTACAAAGTTACCGAGTTGGGAATCTAGTCGAAGCATACCTTGCTTTTGACAAGTTCGCCAAGTAAAGTTTTCTTCTTCCCCATTTATGTGTAATTTCATTTTAGGGTTATACCTGTTGTAGAATAGAGAAGCTTCTCTTCTTTTTTCTTGTCTGATATTGGATTCTATATATGTTGCAGCGCTTTTGTTCAGGAGTTTCGTAATTGGGAGTCTGCTTGGGCATTGGAAGCTCTGTATGTGGTTTGTTATGAAATTCGGATTCTAGCTGAGAAGGTACTCTTTCATTTCAATTATCACTCATCCAAAATCTTAGATGTGTTTAATTTCATGTCTCCTAGTTTTTGAGGTCTGAGAGAATGGTTGGCAATGCAGGCTGATAAAGAATTGACCTCTAATGGAAAATCACCTGAGAAATTGAAAGCAGCTGGATCTCTTCTCATGAAAGTTTTTGGAGTCCTTGCTGTAAGCTGCCTTAACTATATATCAATCATCAGGAAAAAGAAGCTGTCATTGTTAATCTTTAATTTTGTGTTGAGTTTCGTTTTTGGCTCCTTATTTACTTTTTTTTTTAATAAAAAACTGTAGGGTAAAGGTCCAAAACGAGTAGGAGCATTATATGTGACGTGCCAATTGTTCAAGACCTACTTCAAGGTGAAAATCATGATCAATAGTTTACTTGTAATATGTCAGCGATTTACTAAAAGAATGTGTCCCTTATTGCAGCTTGGAACTGTCAATCTTTGTCGAAGTGTAATAAGAAGTATTGAGACTGCTCGGATATTTGACTTTGAGGAATTTCCAACAAGAGACAAGGTCGTTTCCAAATTCTATGCAAGCAGTTTTAGTTTCTGGTCTCGTTATTCGTTTTTACATGTATCATATCTTTTTCTTTTCTTCACAAACTCTGCAGGTTACATACATGTATTATACCGGAAGATTAGAAGTCTTCAACGAGAATTTTCCTGCTGTGAGTACACTATATAGATTTTCTGGGGTTCATTTTTTAGTATTAGTTGAATTACTGATAAGGACATGCCCTTGTTTTAATCTTGCAGGCTGATACAAAGCTATCATATGCCTTGCAATATTGCGACCCCAAAAAAGAACGGAATATAAGGTATGATATGGTGTATTCTATGATTAGTTATTACTTTACCTCTTGTATTGCATTGCTTAATGAGCTTATATGTTCAGGATGATATTGAAGTATTTGATACCAGTGAAACTTTCGATAGGAATCATACCAAAAGATGAGCTCTTACAAAAGTATAATCTTCATGAGGTAACAACTATTCCCTTTTGTTTTCTAAAATTCTCCTCTACTCTACTCTGCGTCTGACTCATCTCTCTTAATCCAACTTCTATATGTGTGCAGTACATAAATATTGTGCAAGCTCTGAGAAAAGGTGATCTCAGGCTTCTTCGGCATGCTCTTCAAGAACATGAAGATCGGTATGACTTTCTGTTAACATCGTACTGTACTTATCTACATGTTAATATTAGTTCATCGTGTTAGACTAGTGAATGACCATTGTAATTAGCGTAGACTGTTAGTTGTAGAGCTAACTGGTTTTATTTATGGCATTTGGGTCGAAAGAGTAGAGATGCTCCCCTTAGTTGATCGCATAATAGATTTATCGGTTTGCATTGTTATATCACTGAACAACTTAATATCAATCAGGTTCTTGAGGTCCGGTGTGTATCTTGTTCTAGAAAAGCTGGAGCTCCAAGTCTACCAGAGACTCATGAAGAAAATGTGAGAAGTCTTTTTATATATCACAAGCTATCCATCCATCCAGTGAACATTCTCAAATTGATGTAGCTTCATAACTCTTTTTTTAATCAATGTTTCAGTTATATCATTCAAAAGCTGAGTGATCCAGCGAGAGCTCACCAACTAAAGCTTGAAGTGATTGCCAAAGCACTTAGATGGCTAGAAATAGACATGGATCTCGACGAGGTTTCCATCCTCCCATTTATCTGCTGTTGATTTACTTGCATGAATTCTGTAAACTCAATAGTTCTGATGGGTATTTTTGCAGGTGGAATGTATAATGACGATACTGATATACAAAAACCTTGTGAAAGGTTATTTGGCACACAAGAGCAAAGTGGTAGTTTTAAGCAAGCAAGATCCTTTCCCTAAACTAAACGGGAAGCCTGTTGGCTCATAGATTAAAGGTTATCCTTGTTGTTGTATTAAGAAACCCTGAGCTTAATCTCATTATTTACTTCCATACTTCTTTTTGATATTCTGATAGGTTTCTTTTTTTGAAAAGTAATGAGAACATTCAGATTTTTATACAGTTTTTTTCTATGGCAAGTTTCAAGAACTTTCAAGGTTTCATCATCCATGTCGGTTGTTTTCAATTTTTGACCAAAAAAAGTCAAAGCAAGTTTTGATCATAAATGTATTATTTCACAACTTTCAAGCTTTCATCATTGCTATGTTGATTTCATTTTTATAAAATGTGAGCACAAAATCCAAAAAAAAGGTCAGTTGAATACAAAACGCAAGAGACTAGAATATTTAGAAAAGTTTTCCAGACAAAAGAGTCTTTTCAGGCAGAGATCAGGTAGTGTGTTCTGAATGTTGTACGGCATTAAGATGTTGAACCCATCCGCAGCAGTTGAGATGATCATCCCTGGAATCTGGTTGTGCCAGTGAAGTTCCTTCAACTTCTTTTGTCCCTGATTTTCCACAAGAACAACAGCAGAGGTTTTCAGACATGCAACAACCATCAATCAAATATAACCAAGCTACATAGGTTAAAGTAAGATGTTATTACCTGGTCAACGAAAACAAGCTGTGGAGGCACGTCTTGAGGTGTGTTAACTTGTTCCTTGGTCTGTGCTTTGAACTCTGCTTCCTCTTCTTCATCCTTCTCCAACGATAAATCTCATATTCTGCAGATACAACAGATTAGTCAAAAAGCATTAGACATCTCTGGGATTTTTTTCTTCTGCGGATTATCTGTGTTTTCTGTATAACGCTTTGTGGCTTATGTGAGCTGGTTATCCCCGGAAGAGACCGCAAGCGTTGAGGAATCATGAGGGCTCCACTCAGTCGACATGATAGGATGCTTATGATACTCAAAATGTGCTACCTTAGAATCTTTCTTCTAGTTCAAGATTCAAATGCTATCACTTCAGAATCTTGTTATAATACTGATATAATTATAAAACCTAAGGTCTTCACCGTAGCTTGATAACTCTAAGATCATGGATAGAGAATGCCCCGTCATCACTCCCTAAGGGCTAAGGCCAATATGCAACTAGCCACCTTCATGGAAGAGTAAAAAACAACGAATGAACCAATTTGCAGGTAACACAAAACCAATTAAGTTACACTTACACATCAAAGTGGCAAGAGAACCCGTTCCATGAGACGACACTCACATCTGCTTTATGTGCCTCGAAAGATAATACAGGCGACTTCCCACGTCGGACATCCCAAACTGCAACAGTCTTATCCACCGAATACGATGCAAACACGCTGGCTTCAGCTGGACTCCACTGGAAACAGAGGAAAGAATATTAAGCCAAACGGAGACAGTAACGGTTAACAAACAACTTAGCTGTAAAAGCGACAGTTTTTTTACTTGTAAAATCTTCAATACTTGCAGTATGTCCGGCAAGGAGAATGGGATCAACAGTCCATGAACCAGATGCTGGCTCCCACAAATGAATCATACTCATACAGTCCCATGTAACTGTTGGGGTATTGTTGAAATTTCGAAGACAAAGTATACCGGAAAGAAGTCTTCCAGTGGCAGCAGGACTCCAATCTTTGTGGCCAGAAAAGTTAACCAAGGGTGCTTGGTTAAGTACCGGTGAAGTTCAATCTTTACCTTTTGTTTCTGACGCTGCTAAAGCATTAAGATGAGAGCTCATTGTCCCAAACCTGCCCACAAATACAAAAGTGCAAACCAGTTTTTCAGAGACACATATAGACAAAAACGTATCTTCATGGCTTATCTAATATCTGATTTTCTGAAATAAATAATAATGATAGTAATTACCTATACATGACCAGAATCTGCCCAAGAGACACAGAGATGAGGACTTTGTGGCATTGCACGAATGCAGTTAACACATCCATGGTGAGCAACTCTGCGGACCTGTTTATCAATAAAAATGAAACAACAGTATTAACCATAATGACTCTCAACTTCATCCCTAAATAGTTGGAAAGAATAAATAATTACCTGAATGATTGGAACAGAGAAAGCTCCATCTGCGCTTTCCTCATCGCTATCACTGTCCTCATCCTCATCTTTCATAGCATCATCATCATCACCATTCACTAGTAGTGTCTTAAGGAACTACATCGCGTCTTTTACCAGATACGTTGTTGATTTTAAATAGTCTAGTCCTATGGAGTTCAAAGGTGCTTTCTCAGCCTAAATGGAGGGGGAAAGAAACCATTCACAGGATTTCATAAATTAAACGCAAGATCAAAAACACATTTAAAGATATAAATAAATAACTCACCTCTGATTATTCAACATTATTCTAAGTTCCTTATCTTTAAAAGCTAACTAGATCTTGACCGGCCCTTGAAAAGATGGGTATATGTTTTGTTTTATTTTATTTTTTCTTTTAGAAATTTAATTTTTATATTTGTATTTTTTTGAAATTATATTTATATTGTATAATCATGTTTGTGTCTAAATCTTAATCAAAATCTATTTTATAAATAAAAAGCAATTAAAAAATCGACCCACTGACATTTACTCGTTTCTTTGTAATTATATACACATATGTTCGTTTTCTTGTAATCATATTTATCTATTTTAGATCTTAAACCGTGCTTTGAGTTTCGGTATAACGTTGATTTCTATCATTTTTTGTTTTTTTTGTGTAAATATATTACACTTGTCTGTAATTTTTTCTTATATGTTATGAAAAAATAAATTATACGTTTGTGTATAATCTTTAAAAAAAATTATTAGTAAGAAGTTTTGATAAATGTATTGAATTTTTGATATTGCATAACTATACAATTGTGTCATAACCATTTTATACATTAATTTTGTACTTTATTATTAAATAGAGGTTAATTAGTTTTTTTTTAAATAACAACTAGATTTTGACCCGCGCTTGAAAGCGCGGAAATTTTTTATAACTAAAATTTATATAATTGGGTTATGTCTTAATTTAAAGAATGTTCTGGTATAAAATCAGTTTACCAAAATTTGTGGTGAGGATTTTTTTCATTAGTTTTTAGTTTCAGTTTTTATTTTTAGATTTTGTTTTTTAGTTTTTAGGTTTCTATTTTTGATTTTCAGCTTTTGTTTGGGTTTTTAATTTTTAGATCCGCTGAGTTAGTTTGAACTGATATTACCAACAAACAAATTTCAAATAATCGAATCTAATTTAAAACAGAAAAGATGACAAAAAATTTTTAAAATTTTTTTTGCAATAGTTTATTTTGTAAATAAACAAAAGCAAAAACTATAACAATATGTTATCCAGAAAAATACGTTTTCAGCTTTTGGTTTTGGGTTTTAGTTTTTAGAATTGATTTTTGGTTTTGCTTTACATTTTTTTTTAAATCAGTAAATTATTTAAGAAAAATAAAACAATAACTTAGTTAAAAGTTACCATTGAAATTTATCAAAAAAAGTGATTGTTATTTAAAATAAAAAATACAATAACATGTTTTAAAGTACATGATTTAAATAAATGATTAATAATAGACAATTTTGTTTTGTTAAAAATATTAAATACATTTGGGCCTGAAAATAATAATTGATTTTTTGATCCATTAAGATAGAAATTTTATTCAATGTTTTTGGAGTTTTTCCTTAATAGTAAACCTAAAAATCAAACCATATAATTTGTCCCAAAAACAAAAGTAAGCCCAAGACTATATCCCATAAATAACCATCGGTTTAATTTAAGTAATGCGGTTCAATTATATATGGCTTGTTGTAACACTCTAGAAAGAGTCCAAATTTAAATGACAACTAGGTGACCGGCCCGCACCCTGTGCGGATATATACAAATTCAAATTATGGACTTAATAATACAAAATTTTAGAAGTAATAGATTTTATATCATAATACCACCGTCTTTGAGGTAAAGCATCAGACACAGAAAAATGCTGGTACACAATATTTTACATGGAGGAGATGGAACAAAGTAACTTCAGTATCAATATGTAGTTATTGTGTGTATTTATAATTGCAACATCACAAAAAAAATTGTGTGTTGAAGGTTGAATTTTATTTTCCAAATCTGAAATTAATAGTATGTAGTTTTTTATAAGTAACATATTTTCTATTATCACTAATTAGAATTGTATTGTATATGTGTTGTAATTCTTTATTTTAGGTGAAAAATATTATTATGCATAAATACATATTCTCTATTATGCTAAAGTTATTTTATAAACAATTTTTG